ACCCTTTCACAGGAGTCGCCTAAGACCATTCTGCATATCAGATATTTACATTATCATTCCTAACAGTAGCAACATTACAGTTATGAAGTAGCAACAAAAATAATATTATGGTTGGGTCACAACATGAGGAACTGTACTTAAAGGGCCAGAAGGTTGAGAACCACTGCTCTAGAGTGTGTGTGTGTGTATATGTGTGTATGTATATATATAATTGACTTCAGAGAGGAAAGGAGAGACAGACATAGAAACATGGATGATGAGAGATAATCATTGATTGGCTGCCTCCTGCATTCCCTTTCCTGGGGATTGAGCCTGAAATTCTGGCATGTGTTCTAACTGGGAATCAAACCATGACCTTCTGGTTCATAGGTCACTGCTCAACCACTGAGCCACACCAACTGGGCTGTTATAGCTTTTAAAAGTGTCCAGTTCTTTTCAAGCATTACTTTCTTTGAATGCTGTATGATTAAACAGAATTGACTAACAATTTTTGGTGGATAATTCTAAGGTCCATTTATGTGAATCTGTTTGGTCATTTTTCCTCCTCCTGTTTCTAGCTATCTATATTTTTAAATGTTATTCACAGAAACTATTTGAGGCTCAAAATTAAGTTATGTTCCTCTAAGAATTATTTTCATTTGCTTTTGTGAAGTGTCCAGTAATCCAAAACCATCTGAATCCAAGTTCAAGGCCTGAAAACTCAGGCTACAACCTCTGAGAAAGCTGATTTATTTCTGGTTTACCCTTACTTTTGGGGTATAGCCCTGCAGGGTCTATACCTTTGATGAAAAACTGAACTGTGACTTTTGTCTCCCTAGTCCTCTGATGCTGCGAAAACCACAGTTCATTTTCTGTTGTGTCTTCTGAGCTGGTCAATACCACCCAGGGCAAAAATAACCCTAAGGGACAGCCTCACCTCCCTGGATTCTGGTCTTCTCTGATATCTCAGCCCTTACTATCTTGTTACTCTTTGATAATTTTAAGAAAGGATTTTAATATTTTTTCCATCTTTTTTTCGTTGTCAGCAGTAATAATCACTTCTTGGCTTTTTGGCTAAGATCAAGTGTAGTTGTCAGCAGTAATGAGAAAGATCCAAATAACCTCGTCTGCTGTTAATGAAAAGAGTTACTCTGTCAGTTTTCATCCCTTTTAACCTATTTCATGTTGCTTCATAATACTTGTTACTTCCTGACATTCACTTCACACTAATATAATTTTTAGGTAGATTTTAAAATGCAAAAATAAATAAATAAATAAACAACTTAAGAAAAGTTGGAAATGCTGTATGACATTTATATTATAAAAATATTAAAAGACAAATGGCAAACTGAGAAAAACATAAAAACAAACATAAAAGCCAAAAAGCCAATATTCTTTAAATAGTATAAACTCTTAGTAATAAGAAAACTATTTTTCCATTTTACTTCGTAATTGTGTTTGTTCTCTCACTTTATTCAAGTCTCTGTTCATATTTCCTGTTCTGGGAAAGCCTTCGTGACTATGAGTCTAAAATAGTCCCATTTCTATCTCTGTCCCTTAACCAACTCTATTTTTCTGAATAGCATTTACCACTATCTCCTTTTTTGCTATTATTTTGTTAAGTGAGAAAAAAGACTATTTTTATTCACTGCTGTATCCTCAGTGCATAGGAAAGTATCTACTCAATAAATATTTGTGGAACAAATGGAGAAAGTCTAGTATAAACAGAATGTCTTACTTTAATAATTATGGATATTTTAAAATACACAAAATAACAAATGCTACTGTTTCTGGAATGCAAATACTTTACTGTTCTAAATGCACTGTTCTAAATGCTTTACATATATTAACTCATTTAATTCAAAATAATCCTATGAGTTAGGTAATATCATGATATCCATTTTACAGATGAGCAAACTAGACACAGAGAAATTATGTAGCTTCCTTAAGGTCACACAGCTACTAAGTATATTGAAAAAGATTAACAATCTGGCCAAATACTTTCTGTACCAATCCAATTCATCTGTTCCTTTTCATACTTAAAAAATTTTAAATATAAATGAGAACAATTAAAACTACCACCATACTTATCACCATTATTAACTGAGTTTTTAGTACATGCATACTAATGACTGTGCTCAGCATTTTACATTGTAATAGCAAAGCTAATGCTTACAACAATCTTGTGAAATAGGTATTGCCTTTCTTTAAAAAAAAAAATAAAAGGAGAAAAACCAGAGGCTGAGGGAAATTAAATTAGTTGCCCAAAGGCTACCTTGACTTGGGGTTCAATTTTAAGTTTCAATCTACAGCCTAGATTTTTAACTACCAGATTTAGAGACTTGTAATAAAACTTGAAGCTTCAACAGAATAAACAAATACATTCCCTTAAGGAAAAAAACCATTACATACATCCATTTCAGGCACACAATCTTCTGGTTTGTCCATAAATACTGCAGAGACTGGAAAAGATGTATTTTTGGACATCATGAATTTTAATGGAACTTCATGGAAGATTTGATTTCTCTCTCTCATTGTCATTTTCTTTTGGGGAAGTGGTGAATTAACATAAATTACTTTAACCGGTTTTGAACCTTAAAACAGAAAGAGAAGGGAGTTATTAGTATCTAGTAGTGATATTTAGAAAAAAAACCCAGAATGTATGACAGAAGGATCACTAAACAAAGAGGCATGGGTAAGAAAGTGGTAGCACAAGCCCAAATATCTGCCACACCTGAACCAGAAGATCTTTAAAATCCCTTAGAGATCTAAGGACCAGAGAATCTGACTGGCAAGAAAAATATATATTTTTTCTAATAATTTTTTAAAAGGATTTATTTTACTATTATACTTTTCCTGTCATTAATACTCAGATCTTGTAGGATTATGGTTTCGACATGTAATGAAATTTTTACCACAGAGAATATAATACATTTGCAGTTTTGTTTCATTAGACACAGTCCTTCATTTATTATAATTATGTTGTCACATATATTATTATTAATTCTGGAATATAAGAAAAAGCTACTAAATATGAACCAAAACTGAAGGGGAATAATCTTTTGTACAGAGGAATTTATATGCAAATATAATTTTACTGTCAATAGACAGATTATCCTATGCTCATACGTATAGACCTATTTTAATTCTGAATTCCAATAACAGACAAGTACTCACCCATTTGAGGGTGTCTAATGAAGTACTGCATTCCTTTCCTTTCATTAAAAGATAGAAGAACCTCACCATTTCATGTGTTTTTAGTCACCCTACCTGTGGTTGGCAAACTGCGGTTTGCGAGCCACATGCGGCTCTTTGGCCCCTTGAGTGTGGCTCTTCCTAAGCCTTAGGAGTACCCTAATTAAGTTAATAACAATGTACCTACCTATATAGTTTAAGTTTAAAAAATTTGGCTCTCAAAAGAAATTTCAATCGTTGTACTGTTGATATTTGGCTCTGTTGACTAATGAGTTTGCCGACCACTGCCCTAAACCATAATTATTTCTCTAATACCTCTCACCCCTCATGAGTACAACTTCTATAGATATAACTTATCTACTAGAGGCCTGGTGCATGAATCCGTGCACGGGTGGGGTCCCTCAGCCTGGCCAGTGATCAGGGACATCTTACCAAGTCTGGGGGGAGGGACCATGGGAGATTGGCTACCCGTGGGAGGTTGGCTGTGGGAGTGCACTGACCACCAGGGGACAGCTCCTATGTTGAGCATCTGCCCCCTAGTGGACAGTGCCCGTCATAGTGACTGGTTGTTTGGTCAAGTGGCTGTAAAGGTCACTTAGGCTTTTATATACACTGAGTTAAAAGAGCCATCAGGCAGCTGGTTCCACAACCATCAAATCTCACAGAACTGGACAGTGCTATTCATCAGGCATGGTGTCAGATTCCTCGCATCACCTTTCAACATCTCGTGGAATCAATGCCAAGAAGAATCGCCGCAGTATTGAAGGCAAAAGGTGGCCCAATGAAGTACTGATGGGGTGGTCATAATAATATGGCCACTCAGTATATATAGACTAGAGGCCCAGTGTATGAATTCATGCATGGTGGCAGGGAGTTGGGGGGAGGAAGGGACTGTGGGAGGTTGGTTGGCTGGGTGAGGGACTGTGGAAGGTTGGCCGCCGGCCTCAAGAAGGAAGCCGGCCCTCGGGCCCCCTGGAAAAGGGGCCGCATCCGCCGCCACCCTCCCCCAGTTCCCCGTACCAGCCTGGGGCCCAAAGGCCCCAATGGGGTAGAGAGAGGTGACGGTTGCTGGGCCAGGTGCGGAAGGAACAAATGCCAGACGCTGATGCCCCGCCACCGCATGGTTCCCTGCCTCCCCATCTCCTCCTTCCCTACCACAGCAGGTTGGCGGCCCCCAGGGAAGGGAGAGAACGGGAGAAAGACAAATCCCTGTGTCAAGGGCTGAATTTCAATAGACTGCAGTGAGGGAGGGAGCTGCTAAGCTACGTACGAAACCCCGACCCAGAAGCAGGTCTCTACAAATGGTTTAGCACCAGAGGCCAATGGGGGCTGGCCAGAGGGAGGGGCCAGATTGGCTGTGGGAGTGCACTGACCACCAGGGGGCAGCTCCTGCGTTGAGTCATAGCAACTGGTCGACGGGTCATTCCTTCATAAAGGTCACTTAGGCTCTTTCATATAGAACCATTCCAACTCCTCTGTTAAGAGCATTACCTTACATGACAAATCACAAACCTGCAACAGGTATTAGTTGAATATACACTGGAATTTCCCACTGTTCCTTGTAGTCCGGTCCATGATTATTTAATAAGGCAAATAATGATTGACTAGTTAGAACTATCTGAGGGTGATATCTTGAGACAAGCTTCTCTGCATTTGGATCTTTACTAATGTCCTGAAAAACAAAATACACCCTGTTACTTCATTATATTTATTGGAAATTTCTTTACTAAAATAACAAAAAGGAAATTGAAGGAAACTTTAAAAGAATCAGATTATCTGTACTTTATGAGGTACAGAAGATTACTTATAGAGATCCCATCCCAAACCACTTTCGTACTTACGTAATGCATAGCTGCAGCTGTTTGTTCAGGTATTTCATTGGTAGATAGGTTATCTTTTGAGAGTTGCAATTTTGCAGGCATTGAGGGAAATACTGTTTTCACATATTTCACACTACCCTAAATAAGAATGAAATCATTGTTTATTATAAAAATCTTGATGTATTTTTCCCCCAAGTATCTTTTCATCATAGGAAACTTTAAAGTTAAAATTCTTCATTCTACTAAATGCAAATGTCAAATTTAGAGCCTTCTTTAAGTCAAGACTTTTTGCTGTTGTTGTTGTTAATCCTCACCTGAGGATATTTTTCCATTGACTTTTATTCAAAGTGGAAGGGAGCGGGGAGAGACAGAGAAACACGCATGTGAGAGGGACACACTGATTGGTTGACCTTTACTGGAATTGAACTTGGGACCCTTTAGTCACAGGTCACCGATGCTCTAATCAATGAGTATACTAGCCAGGGCAAGACTTTCATGTTTTTGCTCAACTCTCACCATATATATATTTTTTAAAAAGGGTCCAAGAGAAGGGAACCATGGAATCTTTCCTGCCACTTTAACTTCTCATTTTATGAGGAACATATCATCACAGGGTATAGGAGAAAATCTAAAATATCCTCTTCACACACACTTCCAGTATAACTGTGTGTAAAATCCTTTAAAAAAGGGGGGAGGGTGAGGCTTCCTGCTTATATTCAGTAAGATGGGAACTCTAAGAAAAGAAAATCAAGAAATAAAGTGGGTAGTGACATTTTTAAAAACATCAAGTATTGACATCCATAAAGCTGTATCTCATTATTATTCAAAATTTAAAAACAAATATTGTATGTGTGAAATAGAGATTATGTTTCAAACAAAAATAAGTACATGCTTTCATATGGCAAACCTTACCAGTGCAAGAAGAGTCTTTTCTAACCTTAATCCCATCTCTGTTCTGAATGGGAAGAATCCCATTAAACTGGTGACTTCATGGAGAGTATAGAATTCTGGATACTTTTTCACTTGGTCCATGCAAGCTTTTAAAATTTGCTAGAAAACAAAAACCAAAATAAATTCATTTGTATTGTACTTCTCTAATAATCCAACAAAAATAAGTTAGTTACATATGATTATATAATTGTTCACTGGCAATATAGACTCGTTTCGTTACTCAAATTTCTAACAATACAAGCATATTGTATATTCCTTGTTTAAAGTAATCTCATTTTTTTCATAACAATTCTTTTAAACCTAATTTCTTAAAATGCTGATATATGATAATATTAAAATGAGCAATTGTATTAAAATTTAAAATGCAATAGAGAAGATATATTTTCTATACTATTTAAGAAATTGTCAAGGAAATAAAGCCACATGAAAATTTCAACACACTTTACTGCAATAGAAGTTGTTTTATGAATAATCAGAAATAAGTTTAATATCCTTAAAAGATTTCCAGGCACAGGAATTAATGAAGTAGTTGCCTTATATGTCATTCTAATCTGCAATCTAAAAAATAAATGAGAAATGTTGTAACTAAATCAAATATGGAATATGTTTTTTCTCTCCAAACTGTTTCCAAAATATTAATAACTTATCAGGAAATGTAATCAGGAAGGAAATAAAACTCACAGTTTTACCCAAGTAGAATACTAGTATATGCCACTTGTAATAACATGCAGATAACTCAAAGGAGAGCAGCAGTTTTGGGTGGTAGTGGGGGGTTATAATTTTAAAAATACAAAGTATTATTTTCTAAGTATTTTTTCTTCTTGTCAATTAATCAAAACTGAGACTTACAGAATATACTTTACATCACAAAAGCTCTTAGCAATAAGCATGTCTTTATACTATATGTGTATCTCCTTTCCCTTTAGACATTCATAAAATATGTAAAGCTACAAATCAATAACTTTGCTATAGTATATCTTTTCATCTATAGTTTCATATTTTCTTCTTCCCCTCTTAATCTTTGCTCCCAGCTATCTTTCAAATCCCCCCCCCTTCATGCTTTTCAATACTGGCCTTAATATTTAATTCAGAATATTATTTGCAACTAAGGCTGATGCAGGTTAACATAGAAAAGTTCTGTTTTTTAAAAACCTTAGTCAACTGCAGACTCAGATCAGCATAAGATTTTGTTCTTCATTTATAATATTAATTAATTTTCACTAATTAGTTAACTCCCCCCGGCCCCCTTCTCCCTAACGTTCCTATCATATGGCAGTATTTGCAAGAATTTGAACATGCAAAGGAAAACAATATATAATCACTATGTGATATAGAGACTATTCTGGCTAGATGTTTATTAGCACGTTTTTCATGGTAAAAATGCTACATGCCACAGTGCTTTTAACTGAGTTACCCTAAATTCAGTAATTATGGTAAGAGAAAGAGTTAAAGGAAAATCTAAGACAGTTTTATTCCTACACTCCATACATTATATATTATTAAAGGTATTTCACAACTGGTAGGCATTAAGCAACTAAAGAAACATTATTTAACTAAAAAGGTTTTTTAAACTAATAATTTGTCTTTGAAAAACAGCTAAGAGTGAATAAAGAAGGTTAAGAGACTCAGGTTGTTTCCCATCATTCACCCACTGAATGTTATTATTTTTTTTAATTAAATCTTTATTGTTCAGATTATTACATTTGTTCCTCTTTTTTCCCCTCATAACTCCCCTCCTCCCAGTTCCCGCCCCACCCTCCACCCTCACTCCCCACCCACTGTCCTCATCCATGGGTGCACGATTTTTGTCCAGTCTCTTCCCTCACCCCACACTCCTTCCCCCCAAGAATAGTCAGCCCATTCCCTTTCTATGTCCCTGATTCTATCACAA